GCCTTGCATGCCCAGGGGAGTTCCTGCGGGCTCGCAAGGCTTGCGGATAGCAGCCTGTTCTGGGGGCTGGGGTCGGGGGAAGCTCAGGCTTTCCCTGCCCCAGCCCTGCGGCTGGGGGGGGGGGGAAATAAATTTTTTTTATTCATTTCCCCCCCAAAAAACGAGGTGCGTCCTATGGGCCAGTGCACCCTATAGGGCGAAAAATACAGTATTTGGGGGGGGGGACCCACTCTTTTTCAGATATTGCTATTACCCTAGTTTTGACCCTTTCAAAACTCTAATCCATTCAGGGCTTTATTTTAGATGAGGAAAGCCCCTATAGGCCTATCCTAATCCCCTTTCTCTAAACTTGTGTTCCTAGATACTGTTGGATTCCAATTCCCTTCAGCCCAAACCAGCAAAACCAGTGTTCAAGATGGATGGGATGTCTGAGGGCTTAGTAAATTATATGTTGTTGCAAATATCTCTTGTTTTCTGAAAAAAGTCATATTTGAGAATATTCTTATTTCCGTACTGCTTATTTCTGCAATCCACTTAAGGTGCTTAGGGTGGAATACATAGAATCATAGAACTGTAGATTTGGAAGGGATCCTGAGGATCATCTAGACTAACCCCCGGCAATGCAGAAATATGCAGCTGTCCCATATGGGGATCGAACATGCATGGTGCTTGAGAGCCAGTGTGGTGTAGTGGTTAAGAGCGGTAGTCTCGTAATCTGGTGAACCGGGTTCGCATCTCCACTCCTCCACATGCAGCTGCTGGGTGACCTTGGGCCAGTCACGCTTCTCTGAAGTCTCTCAGCCTCACTCACCTCACAGAGTGTTTGTTGTGGGGGAGGAAGGGAAAGGAGAATGTTAGCTGCTTTGAGACTCCTTAAAGGGAGTGAAAGGCGGGATATCAAATCCAAACTCTTCTTCTCTTCTTCTTCTGCTTACTCCATTTTAATCTTCCTGACAAACCTGTGAGGTTGATGAAGATGACAGATAATGACTGGCCCAGGGCCATCCCATAAACTCATGGCTCAGTGGGGGATTGAACCCAGGTCTTCCTAGTCTGGCACTCAAGACAATACACCATAAGTGTTCTCTGGATGATGTTCTACATTCAGCAATTCAGAAATACCATTGGTTTTGTCTTCTATAAGGGGGTGGTCTTAAGGGAGGTGGAGAGTATACTGCTAGTTTACTTTGGAGACACTGGTTTTTATTTTTGCCCCAAGCAATATTATGAGGCTTGCAGCAATGACTCATCATCTGACGTGCATGTGTACTGCACTCTGTGATCATCCCTAATTTCTAGTTGCTTCATCTCATCTACAGGTAAATGACTGCCTGTTAAATGACTGCCTGGGATGACGGCTTCCCTGTTGATCGGTTCCTAGGTCAGACTTCCCCAACTTGGGGCCTGCAGAAGTTGTTGGCCCACACATCCAGTCACACTTGATCATTGGTCCTACTAGGTAGGGATGATGGGAGTTGGAGTCTTAGGAGAAGGCTGCCCTAGACCTTTGTCCACACTGCCGAATGTGGCCCTTAATTCAGTTTGTCAAACTCACACAGAAGCATAGTCACTAGTAAAACCCCTTGCAATGCCGGAATTGCAATTAAAGTGTCCAGGGCAGAGAGCCATCCACCCTCTGCTTATAAACCTCCCGAGGGAGTTCGTTCCACTGCCAAACATCTCTTACTGTCAGAAAGTTTTTTCCTGGTGCTTAGTCACAATTTCCTTTCTTCTAACTTGAAGCCATTGGTTTGGGTCCTAGTCTCTGGAACAGGAGAAAATAAGACCCCTGGATCCTTTAAACATGTACTACTCATAAGCCAGGTGTCCTCCCATCTTATATCTGTGCATCTGGGTCTTCCTGCCTAAGTGTAGAAACTTACACTGGTCCCTATTGAAATTCATTTTGTTAGTTTTGGCCCAGTTCTCCAATATGTTAAGGTCATCTTTAATCCCAATTCTGTCTTCTGTGGCATTAGCTACCCCAGTTTGGTGTCATCTGCAAATTTGATGCCTTTTTAAAAAATCTCATTTCTGGGGAGCTACAAATGAAGCAAGATATGCCATTAGGTTTGCACCATTAAAAAGCAAACAAATTCTAGGTTGCAAAAGGCATTTTCTTGAGTAAAAGTTGTATACAAAAAGGAAATAATGGTTATGGTCCTATTTCTATCAGTCCCAAGCATATGGCAGGAGCATGTGTGGCAGGGAGTGAAAGGCCTCTTGGGGATGACTACAAAGCCTTGATCAGCCACAGACTGAAAAGAGTAGAGAAGGAACTGAAAAATCATATCAGGTTATAGAAATGCTTAGCTTCTGTGCTGAGCGTGTTTACACTGGATATAGGACAATTTGCTGAGGATATAAGGCAGCCTAGGAAGGATGCCATTTCTGAGCAAGAGGGGAGTCCCAGCTGATAAAGCAACTTGACCTCATGACAAAAGCATTAAGGAAACAAGTTGGGCAGGCTAGTCCCCCCTCTTTCTTTCTTTCTTTCTTGGCCTAAAAAAACCCCAAGCTCCAAAGTAAATTGGCTCAATAAACAGATGTAAGGAAGGGACTATCCGGTGTATTGTACAGCATGTCACGTGTGCTACTGTCTGCTTTCTAGAAAGAAGTCATAGGGTGTGTGCTTTGTGCAAGTAGCTCCTGGCTCTCAGTGAACAAGCCTGACACTAGCTAGAACTGATGGGGGTTGAAATTCACAGCATCTGGAGGGTGCCAGGTTGATGGGGGATGTGATTAACCATTCGCTTGTGCTGTGGTTGCAGCATCATAAATACGTTCGTGCCATTGGAGGCAGGAGGCTGCTCTGGCCTGCCTCCTGCCACAGTGACAATGACCTGAAGGACATTGCCCCCAGGTGTGACTGGCCTAGGCTGAAGTGCAACAGCACAGCCTCCCCAAGGGAGGTCAGCATTTCATTCTGAGTTTGCAAACAGAACCTGAAACTGCTTCTTTCGTTAGGGCAAGTTGTTTGTTTCTCTGTGCCCTTGTCTGCCTTCTTTCCACCTTGTTCTTAATGTTTTCAGAGCACTTGGAAAAGGGGAACACCTTGATCTGTTTGTCAGTAATAGGGAAATGGAGATTCTTGTGTGCTTATAGCTCTCATGGGTGCTATTATTTATCTACACAGTTTGTTTTTAAATGACCTATGACTTCATCAGGTTTTTGCAGCTATATATTCAGGTTAAAGACGATCAGTTAGATTCCCCCGGGTGAACCTGGGAGTGAGTTCCATGGAAACAGAGTGTGCCTTACTTGGAAATAAATGTATTTGCATTCTCAAGAACAGGTTGCCAGTGAATGGTAAACATGTTTGGACTAAATCTGCGAAGAAGGCTCTATCTGCTGAATACTATGCTTATTTAGTCAATGGGAGCAATTCCCCATTTCACTTCTTCCTTGCTATGGAACTCTTGTGTAACTCCCATTCATTGTATCAGAACCTTATGCAAGAGAAGTTCCCGGTGGATTGTGTCTAGCAGGAGCAAAGAAATGTTGAGGCTGTTGAATTATTAACCTACAGCCCAGCCTTATGCCTGTTTATTCCACTGTGGCTTCATTTGTTTGGAGAGAAAAAACAGCTTTCGACAGCTAAACAGAATACAAACGTTTTACTTTTTATGGTATGCAATGTTCCTCCTTCCCCCCGCCCAAGTTTTTATGTTTTAACATTTCCCCCCTTGCTATAAGAAAAAAACTGCTCCCTGGATCTAAGCCAGGAGCATAGTCAGAACATACTCTTATATAAAAAAAAGCATATGGAGAACTTTTGTTGTATACTTGGTGGAATTTCCCAGCGGGCTGTGTTTATGAAGAAGTTTTGCCAAAGCAAGGGAAGACTGGAGGAAAAGGAGCCCTTCGTTTTGCAGCTAGAAGCTAGCTGCTGGGAATCACAAGCAAGAAGAGTGCTGTTGTGCTCAGGTGCTGCTTCCAGGCTTCCCAGCGGTATCTGGTGGGCTGCTGTGAGAGCTGGGTTTGTGATTGGCCCGCTATATCAGGCGTGCATTATTTCCCCTGCACAGAAGCACTTTGAAGGCTTCTTTTGAAGCACACTTAAACGCCTGCTTTTCGTTGGGGGTCTGTGCATGGGGCTCATTGCTTAGGCCTCTCAATCAGGGCTGTTGTCTCCCTCTACGCTCTTGAGAATGCCTTCAGGTCTCCCACAAATCCTAGATACAACACTTTGGGAAGTGTTGCAAGTTTCAAGGAGCTAATGAACTCTGAAGCATTTCTGAGAACACTGACTTATACTGTAGTTGCATCACCACATTTTTTTAGTTCAGGTATTGGCTTGTATCACTGGGTTATATATGTTTCAGAAGGGACACTGGAACATGCCAAGACTATGGTCTATGCTCCGAGTATAGGCCAACATTTGTTTCATTATTTCTAAAAAGGCATTACCCATCTTCTTAGTTGTTGAATGATCCTGCTCCCTTGCCAAGTGTTGCAGAACCCGGCTGTTATACTTATATAGTCCCAAGATGCGTTGGTCATAAAAGTAATGACTGATTAGGAGCATAGCAAACAGCCTTATACAGTGGTGCCTCGCAAGACAAAATTAATTCGTTCCGCGAGTTTTGTCGTCTTGCGATTTTTTTCGTCTTACGAAGCACGGTGTCAGGAAAGTTTTGGAAAAGCTTCAAAAATCACCAAAGTCTTTAAAAACCTCAAAAAAGGCTACCACACCACGTTCTATGAGTTGCTCCTCGAAGTCAAGTCGCAACTGTATTAACGGTGTTAAGAAAAAGGAAACAAACTTGCAAGATGTTTCCGTCTTGCGAAGCAAGCCCATAGGGAAAATCGTCTTGCGAAGCAGCTCAAAAAACAAAAAACCCTTTCGTCTAGCGAGTTTTTTGTCTTGCGAGGCATTCGTCTTGCGAGGTACCACTGTACTAAGTTCACGCCATTGGTGCATTTAGCTTAGTATTGACCCTACTCTGACTGACAGTGACTGTCAAGGGTTTCAGGCTGGGGCTGTGCCAAGCCCTACCTGGAGATGCCAGCCATCGAACCTGGGTACCTGCATGCAAAGCAGGTGCTCTACTACCGAGCTGCCATTTTGTGAAAAAACAGTGTAGAATTGTGTTAAATAAAATAAAGGGTTGTATCTGTTGAAGCTCCAGGATCACTGCAGATGGTGACAGCAGTCATGAAATTAAAAGAGGCTTGCTTCTTGGAAAGAAAACAATGACAGACCTAGACAGCATCTTAAAAAGCAAAGACATCACCTTGCCAACAAAGGTCCGTATAGTTAAAGCCATGGTTTTCCCAGTAGTGATGTATGGAAGTGAGAGCTGGAACATAAAGAAGGCTGATCACCGAAGAATTGATGCTTTTGAATTATGGTGCTGGAGGAGACACTTGAGAGTCCCATGGACTGCAAGAAGATCAGACCTATCCGTTCTTAAGGAAATTAGCCCTGAGTGCTCTCTGGAAGAGCTGATCCTGAAGCTGAGGCTCCAATACTTTGGCGACTTCATGAGAAGAGAAGACTCCCGGGAAAAGATCCTGATTTTGGGAAAGTTTGAGGGCACAAGGAGAAGGGGACGACAGAGGACTAGATGGTTGGACAGTGTCAGGGAACTGACATCGGAGCGAGAGGCGATGGGGAGGCTCCTAGATGATGCTGGAGAAGGACCCAGCAGCAGGGGGAGAAACAGCTCAGTAGAGGGGGAAGCATTTAAGCGCAACACCAGGGATAAAGGGGGGCAGATGGGGGAATCGGAGAGAGGGCTCCAGGACTCTTCACTGGAACTCAGTGAGGAGGGGACAGGTCCTCCGCTACCCACGCCCTCCCTGCGCAGAAGACTCCCGCGCAGTGAGAGGAGGAGGAGACTGGGTGTCAAACAACTTTTATGTTGGAAGAGGTTCAAGAAACGCCCACTGACGGATTCTGCCAGTGACTGAGGCAGTCACAATTAGAAAGGGCTGTGCAGTCAGAAAGGTTTAACAAGGCAAATTAGACTAGAGAGGCACCAGTTTACGCACGAGTAACTCATACTCATTACAGACAGTGTTCTCAAAGCTACTAATATGAGTTTGACCAAACTGCGGGAGGCAGTGGAAGACAGGAGTGCCTGGTGTGCTCTGGTCCATGGGGTCACGAAGAGTCGGACACGACTAAACGACTAAACAACAACAACATCTGTTGAAGTAGTTCCATCAGCACAAGGACTTACAGCTGCACAATGGGATTACCTCTCCCTGTGCCCCCCCCCAAGCTGTTCTGAGGGTTTGCCCAACCCTCTGGAGCAGATTTCGGGTATGCAAGGGAAGGGATGCCCTGTTGTGCAGGTGGAAGTTTGTGTGCTAACGAGACAGCTTCATTGGATACAGCCCAGCGCTTGGAGCGGCCTCCTGCCAATGACCGAACTGGGATTTTAGGCTCAGAGTCTATTGAGCTGCATTTGTGCTCACTCTCCCTTTCTCTCTTTTCTGTGCTGATATGTGTGACTTACTCAGAAGCAGTAAATGTGCCTACTACAGTTGCAGACTTGCATGATTAACACCAATACTACGAGTGGTAAATGTCTCAACTAAAGCCATTGCTTGTGTACACAGCAAACGTGTGTGTTCAGCTGCATACACTTCATGTTACGGCACTTTAAGATAAAGTGCCTCCGTCACTTCGTTGGCTTTCGAGAATCATTCTTCGCCACCCTATAAAATAAATGGCAAAGTGGCGTTGTCCCTTATGCATACTTGCAAGGCTGCTGGGTGGTAAATATTGCTGTGGTTTCTCCCTGCTCTCTCTGCCTAAGGTTGAGCTGTGCTCGGTGAGCCAATAGAGGTGGGGGGTGGGGGTTGACGAAAGAGAGGCAGTGAAGACCCCCTGGTGAACAGACAAGGTAACTAGAAAGGAATTCTTCCTGTCGAGCACAAATCATTCTAATGGGAGACCACTGCTCCCTAAAGGTATCAGACCGAAGCCATTCCATGAATACTACTTGATAATCTCACTTAACAGTGCAGCTGACCTGGAGGTAGGCAAGTTCTTCCAATGCTGTTACAGGAAGAGAATGTAAAAGGCTGCTGTATGTTGAGTCAGGCCAATGGTCCATCTCGCTCAGTACTCCATGCACTGACCGATAGAGGTTCCCCAGTGATTGAGACCTGGAGATGCCAGGGATAGATAGAGCCTAAGACCTTCTACATGCAAAGTTAGGGCTGCCATATGTCTGGGTTTTCCTGGACACGCTCAGGCAGATTTTCAGCAAATGGGCAAAATGTCGGGGAAAACCTGGACGTATGGCAAGGGGGGTTACGCTCAACAACTACAAAACAAAACTTTGTCCAGATTTTCACTTTTAGGAATAGGGCAACCCTATAAAAAGAGGGCATGGGTGGCGCTGTGCGTTAAACCACAGAGCCTAGGGCTTGGCAATCAGAAGGTCGGCGGTTCGAATCCCCGCAACGGGGTGAGCTCCCATTGCTCTGTCCCACCTCCTGCCCACCTAGCAGTTTGAAAGCATGCCCAAGTGCAAGTAGATAAATCAGTACCATTCCAGCAGGAAGGTAAACGTTGTTTCCATGCGCTGCTCTGGTTCACCAAAAAGCCACTTAGTCATGCTGGCCACATGACCCGGAAGCTGTCTGCAGACAAAACGCCGGCTCCCTCGGCCAGTAAAGCGAGATGAACACTGCAACCCCAGAGACGTCCATGAGTGGACCTAACAATCAGGGGTCCCTTTACCTTTTATACAAAGAGGATGCTCTTAACCACTGAGCTCCAGCTTTTACCCCATATGGTGCAAGGTACAGCAATGCTTTGACTAAATGGGAACAGCTCTTAACTTAAATATCAGAAGCACATAAGGACAAATTTGTGCGAGGGGGCAGAAATTATTATGTGGACTAATTCTATTGATTTATCTACTTACTGTATTATATTTCTGTCTGGCCTTTTTTCCAAGGCGGCATGTTTGGTTCTTTTCCCTCCCTCCCACCTACCCACCCACCCACTCACTCCATTTCGTTTCCCCAATAAACTTGTGAGGTAGGTAGGTCAGGCTGAAAGATAGCGATGGGCCTAAGGTCACCCAGTGAGCTTCAAAGCTGAGCAGGGAGTTGAACCTTGGTCTCTCCAGGCCTAATTGAGTTCATTCCCCATCGGCTTTATTGTTTCTTCTTCACTTGGGGAAGAATCAGCTCAGCAGGCTGTACAGTGGAGGTACATAAGGTTCATAAGGAGGTCCATGAGGAGAAAGTGGGGAGAGAGTTGTGAAAGTCACCATGTTTAAACTAGCCCTGTCTCGTTACAGTTAGTCGAGCAATTCTAAGCCAAGCTGTAGCAAGGATTATTAATACCTCTGTATTGCAAGGGCACATGGACAGGCTTTTTTTCTTAAAAGTGGTGGTAAATGGAGTGTTATAAACTTATTTATTTAAAGCCATTTTACCTTGCTGTTCAGCTGGAAAAATAATTCTCATGGTGGATTACAGTAATCAATAATAAGATGGTCTCTGCCCTCAGGTTACAGTCTAAAAAGACATGACATAAAAGGAAAAGGAATTAGGAAGGAGGAGGAGGGGAGGCAAACTCTACCACTGCTTCTTACATCACCATCTTACCCTTATTGATTCAGTGGTGAGTCCTATTGAATTCAGCTGGACTTATTCCCAGGGAGGTGGTGTTAGGACTGCAGTCATAGTTACCAAGTTATTACAAGTGTTCTTTCCAGTAGGGCAAGTTGAAGCAAGCGCCATGCACTTCCTCACATTCTGGCCAATGGTTGGTCCTCCCACCTGTTACGGTTTTCTTTCTGGGAGGTAAGGGCAGAACAGCCTCCTAGTGGCCCCTTGGCTCCTTCAAAACTGGGGGACTGAAGGGATTATGGTCTTTAAAATTAATAAGAAATCGGTACATCGGAAGGATATTATACTGATGTGCTGAGACAGAACTCAGTGCCACAACCCCTGCCATGAGGGCTGGTAGTGAGGCACACAGAGCGGGCAAATACTCAGGATGCTGACGCATCGCCTGCTAAATTCCCCACTAGCCTGCATGGTTCTCCCCATTTTATCCTCACACCTTTCTTATAATGGTTCTTTCACCTTGCAGGCTTTTCCTGCAAGTAGAAAGTTAGCAGAAAGGTTTAGCCTAGTCCTCTCCCAATTTTCTCCTTGCAGGGAGGTTTGTGTGTGAGAGAGAGCATTCAAAAGCAGTATTTTTTACCTGCAGCACTTTGGTCCATCCCCATGTTATTATGCTGCACACCTCGATTCAGCCCCATGTCAATCTACAAAAAACAAACAAACAACCAGGCGGTTGAACCCTGTTTTCTCCCAGCTCCCATTCATACTCCTTGAGTGCAGAGCCACTTCTCCTTTACAGATGCAAAGTTTATCCGTGTCAATGTTTGCTGCCTGCCTGCTTTTCCTCCCAGAAAGAAGCTCAAAATTCCTAATAGTGGCAGACCTCACCCCGCCCCCACTAACAACAACAATAATAATAATAATACCACCAAATAACAACAGTCCAAACAATATGAAAAATTATTCAACAAAATATAGATTGAGCACAATTGCTGTGTAGGATCAGGGTGCCCAAAATATACTGTGGTGCTTCAGGCTCCTTTGCTTGCTTTCCGGATTATACATTGAATCACTTTTAAACCTTTTTGAATGGTGCTAAGTATTTTGTTGACAGTTTTGGGTTGGATCCCTACTTGTGTGAGTGGAAATGCACCTCTCCAATGTCCCCGGCACACACACAAATTCACACGCAGGTCTTGTTTTCCCTGATGGGGTCTTTAAAGCAGCATATTATTGAAGTCTACTTGGACAGAGCTAGTGCACAGATGCATAGGAACCTGCCTTTTACTGGGTCTAGACTATTGGTCTATCTAGCTCAATATTTGTCTACACTGACTGGCAGCATCTCTCTCCCAGCTCTACCTGGAAGTGCCAGGGTTTAAACCTGGGACCTTCTACATGCAAAGCAAACACTCTTCCACTGAGCTATGGCCCACTCCGGTGCAACGCAGTCAATAAGAGTGCTGGAGATCTAGGTTCAGGGGTCCTCCTTCCCTCACTGGGGTCAACCTAACCTACCTCACAGAGTTGTCGTGAAGCTAAAGGCCAGGGGAAGAGCCATGTATACTGCCTTGGCTAGAGGGAAGCTGGAACATAAATACGACGAATAAAAAGGCAGCCTTTTCCAGGCACGAACATTAAGGGATCTCTGAGGTGCTTACTCATGTGCCACACCCGACCTCTTCCTAGTCAAACAGGTTGTCTCTCTTGGTATGTTGCCGGTGCCCTTTCTGGCTTCCCACAGATACGCAGAGAGCATCCCATAAGATGTCACTGTGAATTAAAACATTCCAAAGGAAGTGATAAGAGAGGGGGAAGCATGGTAAGTTGGAGTCATTATTAGTCAGAGAGCGATAAGGCAGGGAGACGCTGTGCTTTCCAAGAGATCTTGTTTCACACACACCTCCTTTTTCGTTCTCTCGGGGTTTTTTATTATTATTAAATGAACATGATAGCTGAGTTGAAAGGAAGTGCGGCTGGAATGTGGCAAACTCTTCCTGTAAAACCTGTTGCCTTTCGATAGCGTGCGCAAGGGCAGAGGGGAGGCTGCTTTTCAGCAGACTTGACCAGAGAGCTGCAGCTGTGAAAGTCCTTCCTTCCCTCTCTCTCTCTCTCTCCCGTGCCAGCTGCGTCCTTCCTCTTGCGGGACACCCATCACCAGCTCTTCTCCTCCCTTGCCCCCCTGTGCGAGGAGGAGGAGGAGGAGGAGGAGGAGAGAGCTGTGGAATGGGGAGACAGCCTCCCTGGCGATAAAAGCTGATGATGTCAGCAGTGTGTCAGCGGAGGGAGGCAGCCAGCCTGTGAGACAGGGAGTTACACCTAGCTAAGTGTCTGAAAGTCGGGCAGAGGAGTTGAGACAGGAAGTTGCCCTGCTCACTAGGTGAAAGGAATTCGAGAGGTTGGTTGGAGAGGGGAGGATTTTCCTAAGCATGTATTGTTTTTGAAAAGCCAAACGCCGCACCACAAGGGCGCTTTTGAGACATGTGGATATGGAATAACCAAAATCCTTCAAGAAATCAGCTCCGACTAAGAGCCCCAGGTAAGCACAGAGGATCTTGCGCCTGGTTTTCCACTACAGCTGCCTTCCTTTTCTGCCCTGTGGGTGAAGTGTTAGTGTAAGGCTGCATGGTTTTGCTTTTCCAAAAGATGGAGGGGGAAGGAGAAAACTGTCTGTATCAGGCTGTGACCCTAAGTGTATCTAAGTGGGCATAGTTCAGTTTAAATTAGCCAGGCTGGTGCCTCATAAAGTGTGTAAGATCAGAAAGTTAATGAGCTTACAGGTTTGACTAGCTGTTGAAATCATCTCGCAGGCTGAAAGGTTTCAAATTCTCTTTTGATACCTGGGTCAAATTTATGTTTTGTGATGGTGAACTTTCCAGGGTTTGCTTGCTTGCTTGCTTGCTTGCTTGCTTGCTTGCTTGCTTGCTTTATAGATGCAGAATATTGTGAGGCTGTTTTATGCACATTTTTTAATGGAATGAGAACTGGGTTGGTCAGCAACCAAGGCTGCTGAAACATTCCTGTGAGCCAGAAACAGGGTATATATATATTTTTTAAGCACAATCACATCTCATGTGTAGCCTCCTTTTCAACAGAGAAGTCTAGTAAAACAATCATAAAGCACAGTTTGGGCAAAGGCACAGTTTGGATCCAGCGGGATTTCTGAAGATGAAAGGCTTGCAGGAAGAGTAGTGCTTGGTTCTTCCATGAACACATGTGAAGGATTAGGCCTTATTTATGGCATGAGATAAGTGGATTTAAAATAAATTTTAAAAATTGTAATCTTTGATGTTTTTGAAGTGTATTGATGCAGAGTGCTGTGGACTACAGTTTGTTTCTCCACTGCAATGGTACACAGCAGCTTATACACACATTCACATATTGTTGTATACGTGAAGAATTAAATGTCTCAATGAGTAGGCATGGACTGCAGATTTGTTTGGTGCATACACAAAGTGTGCTCTTCACTGAAATGAATCCTGTGGATGTTTATACTAAAGGTCAGTTCTGCTGTGTTGGAAGGAATTTCTTTGCAAAAAAAAAAAAGTGTGCATAGGGTTGTAGCCTAAGGACTTGGCATTCAGTGGGTCCTATGCACACTAACAATGCGATTTCTATGCATGTTTATTCAGATGTTGGACTTACTCCCAGATAAGTGTGTATAGATTGCAGATATTCTTGGCAGTAAACCATATTGAACACTGGCACTTACTCTCAAGCAAACAATAATAGGAGCAGAATGAAAAGTTGCAGTCGTACTATCTCACAGAATTGTAGAGTTGGAGGGTACCCCAAAAACCATCTAGTTCAACCCCATGCAATGCAGGAATCCTGTCTACAGCCATCCCTGGGTGGGCTCATACCACCAACCTTCTGGTAAACAGCCAAACACACTCACCCTTTGTTCTAGGGGCGCCCAAGCACAGTTACTGCAGTGTATGTGTTGATGAAAAATAGCATTCATAAAACAAAAACAAATAATTCCACATGGGAGCAGAGGTTTGGTGGAACCTGGAAGCGTGCTGCATTGTCTTTCATTTCAGTTTGCCCAATGTGTAGAGATGTTCTTTTCTTAGTTTAATATCAACCCTTTAGCACCGTCTCAGCTGCTCCATCAACATCAACAACAAAGGACTTCATAGCTAAATCACAGTATTGACCACACATGTCCAAACTTATTTTTTTTTTTTTTCTCCAAAGCAGCTCTTTATTTGTATTTTTTTTTTTTTTATAATTTTTTAATTGGTTTTTCACATTTTATAAAGACATAACACACACGTAAAAGACAAAGACAAAAAACATGTATAATTTCAAAAATCTTACTTTCTTAACTTTGGTCCTTGACTTCCCCACACCCCCCCTTCATACATCCCAATTCCCATAATTATGTCAGCAAGTTATTATTTTACCTCCTTACCCTGTTAATATTACATCTTTTGTAGAAGATTAAATTCTATCCTAAGTTGGGCTCAGATTCCCTTCCATCGATTTCCCATTTTTTATTAAGCATCAATCATATTGACTAGACCCAAAAATCGTAAGTGTTTTTAAAATTCTATTTTCCCCTCCCATCCCCGGTTCGTCCCTTCCCAAGTACATTTCTACAATAACAGTTCTTAGCCTGGATTTCTCACATCCGAGGCCTTCAAGTCTCTTTCAGTCCCTCTCCGCCGGTTTTGTTGGTAGTCCTTTATGTTGGTCTTCGGATCTCGAAGGAGTTCTGTCCCAGTCAAGCCAGATTTTCTTCCCACAAGAAAACTTAGAGACAACTGCTGCAAAAGTTCCACCAGTCCTTCATATTCAGAATGGAGGCCCCCATCATATTTCTTCTTTCTTTTAAGTTCTTGAATTCCAAGTACTCCAGGGGCCTCCTCCTTCATCTTTCGCATCTTTTGCAGATTTGTAATCCATGTAATCCAAGGGTCTTCTTGTTTATAATCCACATGTGTAGGCTTCTGGTTGGTACTTTCCATCTGTGCTTTCTCCTTTCCTTGTTTAGTCTCCTTCAATTCTTGAGATATCTGTTCCGGTTCAGCTGCAGATTTTTTCTCATTCAGATCCTCAATACATTCAGCAGAGCTGCTTATTCCAGAAGTCAAGGTCGTAAGTTGTTTATTCATAGCCAGACTCTGCTCTTGTAAAGTTCCCACAAAGTAACACATTCTTTCTATTTCAGCTAGTAAGTTTCCATCCGCAGCCATTGTAATGTCTCAGAATCCCCCTAGAGGGAATCTGGTTACTTAGTAATCTTTTCCCAACAGTCCTTTGCCTCGTTCTTTGTTTCTTTGTTTCGAACCACTTTAATTCAATTGTATCACATTTAGTCCAGGGAGATCTTAAATAACACGCTTTTTTACTTTAAATTGCCCGGTTGACAGCTTTAACAGCTGTCAAACTCCTTTCCTCTTCAACAGGCTCAAAGGCAGGACGCTCCCGGGCCCGGAAGGGGGGGGGTTACACACCACAAGAGAAAAACTTCTAAAATTCCACTCTTACACTCCCGCTCAAAACTTCTTTTATCAAATCGTGAAAATTAATGTCTTTTTAACTCACCCCAAAGGGGTAGACTCTCCAACTTAGTTCTCCTGCTGTTGCTTTAAATCGTCTGCAGAAGGGGGGGGTGCGGACTTCCCTTTAACACATCCCCCGGTCGTATCAAATTCACAGATAGATATTTTAAAGTCCGAATTCCAATCTACTCACGGGTTGCTTCTTTCGAGTTCCGAATTTAAGGAAAAAGTCAGTGCTCTTCAGCCATGGCACACGGCTCCGCTCCGCTGGGGTAGCGGTCTACTCCCAGCACCACGCCGCTTCCGTACCCTCTCCGTAGCCTTTAAAAAGGCTCTTCGTGGGTCGGGGGGGCGCTTAAGGTGCCCACCGAGTCACCAGGTCCGCAGGCATCCGCGCCTGCGGTTTTTGAGGGTCTCCACGTCGCCGTCGCGGCAAGACCCGTCCCCAGCGGAGCCGATTCCCTCCGGAGCTCGGAGAGAATCCGCCATTAGCTGTTCGCACCAACCCGGAAGTCGCTCACATGTCCAAACTTATTGCCTCCAGCTTGACCTCTGGTGGGCAGGACAGCTATGAAAACTTTTTGACTTTGTTTTACACTAGCACTCCTTGAGGAGAATTTTAGGAAGCTGTGCCACTTCCTTCTGCAAGGTCTAAGCAACTAAGAGGGCAGCTATAACCTGGTAGAGCATGAGACTCTTAATCTCAGGATTGTGGGCAAAAGATTCCTGCATTACAGGGGGTTGGACTAGATGACTCACGTGGACCCTTCCAACTCTACAATTCTATGATTCCAAGACAGAACTGGCTGATAAATTAGAAAAAGGTGTATTTGCGTAGGTCGGGTATAGAAGGTGGCAATTATTTATGGACCATTGACATTATTCGATATGGAATACTGGCTGGGCCTATAGCTCAGTGGCAGATCACG